CCAAATTTCGTGAAATTCTAATGAGTGGTTCTCGAGAAATAGACGTATTTCCGAGAGTGCAATTTTTCATTCAATCGCAATTTTTTTGACTTACTACGCGTGCGCTGCATTTAACTGAGTTCTTTCGGTAGCAAAGAGAAAGCTGGGAATTGTTGGGCTCTTTGCATCGTTACCTTTTCTATCATATCTTTGTAATAAAAGATTGAGGCCATCAATACACTGCGTTCAATTATTGACAAAAATAGCACAGATAGTGCGGGTGTTGAGTGAATAAAATGATCGCTCTATTGACGGCATGTTTGTTTTTTGCAATCCTTGTGCGTGCGCTAAATTGCATCAGCAAAAGCGCGCGCGAAAACTATGTTCGGCCGCCTTAAACGGATTTTGAAAAGAAATTTCTGAAACGCATCGCTTCTGAGTTTGTTCTAAATGCAATTATTTTATTTTAACGTGAAAGAAAATCGACACGCAGCAACGCGCAGTCTTTTGGTGGAAAAGCAAAAGGATTCGGCAATTCTGTGAAAACTTTGAAAATACGCGTGAAATTAATCCTTAATTGCCCTCGGGCCCATGCGATTACACATACTAACAGTCTTATTTCAAAAGGTATTGGAGTACTATCTAAAACTATTATCTCTTTGTCGGGCATTGTGGCGCATTTTGTGGGCTAAAATGGAGAATTTGGCGGGCTAAAATGTACTTTAGCCCGCTGAAATAAACCAATGAAAAGTGAGAATCAAAAAATCGTACGATGTAAGCAGGCAATCAAAATCGAGAAGCTCTTACAACTTTTGACAAGTCAAATGGCAAGATTTTGTAATTTCTAGCCAGCTTCGATTGATGTATTGTTTATTTTCATTTAGGGGGGACGTGATTGTTCAGACTGTTTCGTTGTAATTTTTTTCAATTTGTATTTTCTCAATGGCCTCCAAAGTGATAATAATAGTAATAGAGTTTATGTTCTTGAGCATAAATATGTTTTGGGCTCATTTCAACCCTCGCCTGGCGGCTTGGGCTAAAATGACTCTAGTAAACTCTATTGTCTTATAAGATATTATGTTAACAAAAATATATTCTGCAATAGACCTCTTTAGCTTGGGCGGTTTGTTTTCCCATTGTAGATCACGTGATATTCTCCACAGAATTTTTCTTTCATCTTTCTTGAAATTATTCATTCATGCACATGCGACTATTTAAAAATGTGAAAGCAAGAATTCTCAAGAGTATCATCACGTGGTCTACAATGGGAAAACAAACCGCCCAAGCTAAAGAGGTCTATTATATTATTCACTTATTTATCCCTTCTTTATCTATGGCTTATTAGTTTGGGGCAATACTAATAGTTCTGCCCTTAGACTTTTAATAATTTTAGTAAACACGGTCGCTGTGTTTATTAGTTTGTCTGCTACTTACATAGAAGTAGTGTATATCCCCGGAGGAAGCCTCTGGAAGTTTTTGCACGAAACGGCCCTGCAATTTAACACGTTATGTCATTTAAGATGTACAGCTGGCAATACCTGGCCGTCACCTAACGTCGCCTTAGGAACGCCAGAGAAGAACATCAATCCGACTTTCAACGATCGATGACCCGAAATTGAGTGTTTACTAAAAAGCATTAAGTTCTTAGACAATTTACGACAGCACTGATAGCCTTATTAATTCAATTTTTGGTGGCTTCCCCGACAGCATTTATCACTTGCGAGAGCTGTCTACAGAGTATGACTGGGATCTAGGTATGTTTAGTAACGATGGTAAAAATCAGGTAAAAAAAAGGCCAGACTGAATTAATAAGCTTCTGGTCAGAAAAATGATGATTTGATTATATAATTAATTTATAATTAATTTACTTTTGCCAACTCTGTACTTACAAGGTCATATTGGATGGCATTTCGTCAAATATATTTTCCGGTAGTAACTGCAGAGGATTGTCAAATAGTGTCCTGAAAACAAAACAGGACTTAACGTAGCTAGCGTGACAACATTACTGAATACACAACTTATATTATAGCGCGACGACAATAAACACAATTGTACACTTCGATGAGCTGTCGTAAGGGCAAAGCAACAATCCTTAAAATGGTATCGGTTCCATTATGCCCGGTAATATCGATGTGTTTCTAGATTTTGCTTATTTTTATTGGTATTGCCTTTCAACTACATTTGTAGAAGGCGCAGATAGTTCATAACTCTTAAGTACCCAAAATGGAACAAAATTTTAATTTGAGGCTAGAAAATATCTCGATTTACTCCAAATGTCAGTTCTGACATACTTGAGAAATGACTCAACATTTCCAAAAAGGTTAATAATAAAACAAACACCAGAGAAAAATTGGACTACTTTTTTTTTTCAGACAGAATGCGTTGTGTTTCGGATCTGGTGAAACTCCATTCTTATATTTGGGAAGATAACTGATACCCGATTACAAAGAGAAGTCTTTTTGTATCCCCAATTGAATTCCCAACAAGAAGGGCAATTGTATAGTACATCGATATATTAAGTAATTGCTCTCATGCTGTCAGTTCATTAAGAAGACTTACAATTTTTGAAGACTACTAAGGCCCCTAAAGGCGTTACCATCAATACGTTTGATTCGGTTTCCATGAAGGAACCTAAAAACGAAAGAAATCAAACCAAGAAAACAGCCAGGAAAAATTGGGACATGCAGGGAGCTGGAAATGGCTCTTTTGTAACAGTTCATCTATTCCTGAGACAGATCTAGAGGTGATCTTTATTGTCAAGATTAATCTCAAGATAACTCATTGTGGAAACTACAACCACCGACAGCGGTCCATTTTGGGACTATTCCAGTCCAGACGATCACGCCAGACATTTTTGGAAAATATTTTAGCTAGCTGATATATCTATCATCTCTAAAGGTCAGTTTAGACGATATGTACAACGTGAGTATGATAAGTGAATAAAGATGGTGAATTTTAAGCTCGGTAATGAAATGTGAAAAGTGAACTGATCAACATGACACGAGTGTGGGACAAAGTAAAAATCTGAGTCCCCGGCAGGAATCGAACTCACGACCTCCCGAACACCGGGCGGGCGCTCTGTCCACTGAGCTACAAGAAAGCATGGAGAGCAAGGTTATTTAACTGAGTTTATATGTCACAGGCGTCCTGCATACTGCTAGGATCAGCATCTTTATTCACTTATCACACTCACGATGACTTCGACAATGCTGATCTTAGCAGTATGCACGTCGCCTGTCACATGAACTCAGTTAAATGACCTTGCTCTCCGTGAGGGTTCGATTCCTGTCGGGGACTCAGATTGTTTCTTTGTCCCACGCTCGTGTCATGTTGCTCAGTTCACGTTTCACGGTATGTACAACGTTTTCACATTAGCCAAACTTGCAAAAAATATACAGCACAAACTGTTTACAGTAAATCAAGCCAAGAACTTGCTGGTGCCTGT